CCTGCGGGCTCAGGCAATCCACTCACCTCAGCCTCCCAAAGGCGTGGGATTACAGACTGAGCCACCGAGCCCGGCCATGTGGCGGTCTCAGATAATGGAGCTGAAAATTCCTATTGCTTAGTGACATCCTAGCTGGCATCACATCATAGCATAACACATTATTTTTTCTATGTTTACATTTACAAATACTCAACTTTGTATTACAGTTGCCTACAGGATTCAGTACGGTCACATGCCATACAGGTTTGCAGCCTGGGAGCAATAAGCTCTACAACATAGCCTAGGTGCACAGTAGGCTATATATTGTAGCATCTGGGTTTGTATAAGTACACTGGGTTTGTATGATATCCACATAATGACAGAATCGCCGAATGATACATTTTCCAGAAGGTAAACCTGCTGTTAAGCAATGCGTGCCTGCATATCCTCAAAGATGCAAGCTAATTTTCATGGAAATACACGAACTAGGTATGGAGTGAGTTTAGGTTCCACCAGTAACTTCAAAGGAGAAGGAGCATCTATAAATCAAGTAAATGAGAATCTACTAAAGGCAAAAAGTGACAAGGTTGGTCAGTATTAAGGAATGCGTGATGAGTCCCTGTGACCTGGGTACTAGTATTCAGCGGCTCTGATCTTCCTCTGTGGTCATGACATGAGGCTTACATTTAGCTTATTCATTCATGGCAGCTCGTTATTTCCCCATTTTTTACAACAAAATGTTTTATTAAAAGGTCGTGGTCTGGCATAATTTAGTTAAATTTGCGGTACATTCCCTATCATTTAAGCGATTGACAGCTAAGGTATCTATTGCAAAGAGTACATTTTGGAGTGTAGAAATCTCCATATTTGCATTTAGTATGTTGGACCTTTGGCAGCTACGTAATGCAGTCTCATTCCTAACAGCTACCGGTGTCTGGTTTGATTAATCATCAGACTGCAAGTACTATGGAGTTATTCCTTATGGTGAATGCCAATGACCCTTTTAATGAGCTGATTCTTAGCTTTTCTTTCTTGATTTTCTTATAGCTAGGTAGTGTATATTTACATGATTTTGTGATGAACTGATTTTGTTCCTTTGAAAATCAAATTAGGGGAAAATATGTCTACTTCTCCAAAATTCACCTGGTGCCCAATTCTAGTAGTTGAGAGAGCACAGTACTTTCTTTTTGTATTTCCTTTATTATTTGGTTGGTAGGCATCAGAGCAGAGTGACTAAGAGCACAGGCTTTGGGGTTGGATGGTCTGGGTTCGAGGTCTTGTTCTATCAAGGGAATCTTGCTGGAATGACTTGACTTCTTAGAACCTTAGTGAAATGAGGATCATAATATATCTGCTTCATGGAATTAGTGTGAGGACTAAATGATAGAATATTAATAAAGCCTTGAACGCCATATGCCTGACAGAGGAAGCACAGTCTTGGTTTTTTGTTTGCTTACTAAATTACTTATCATGGGCGAGATTAACATCTTTATTCATATAAATCCTGAGAAGTGCCAAATAACAAGCAAGGGGTTATTCCGGAATATTTTTCATTTCAGGTCAAGGAACGATTTAATGTGAATATGAATTTTTAGTGCTCTTCTGTGATTTTTCTGTCATGTAAATTGTTGACAGTGACAACTTACTTTAGACTGGACTTGTCATCTGTGTATCGTATTGCGAAATCCTGACACTGTCTTTCAGAACCGTACAGCTTGGTGTAGAGCATGCCTGCCCGATGTCTCCCAAATGTGATCACTGTTACCAGAGGTTTACTCTGTGGTTTAGTTTTCAGTCCCTACCTTATTTTCTCAATTTCAGATTTTAATTTCTGAATGAATAACTCACAGTTTGGAAATTATTGTTATGAAGATTTTTAGACAGCATCTAATGTACTTTCATAGAATTTGTTTCTTAGGAAGTTAATAAAAATATAGTGTCGTACAATGATATTTTTCTCCTGGCCAAGTGTTTTTTTTTTCCCTGAAAATTATTTTTAAGAAATGCAGTGTGTTTATTCATATGGAGGGAAGGATAGGAAGGAGGAGTAGGGACACAGGGACAGAAAGGAGAGAAATATGGAAGGGAAAAAATAACAGATAGGGGAGAGGTATGCTTTTATGTCAGGTTTGTCTCCTATTTCCATGCCTTCTCTTTTTGCAGGGAGGTTCTCTTGCTGGCAACAATCTTTCCAGTTGCTAAATGTTGTGAATCTTTATGTTCCATCCTGGGCTTTTTCTTCTCAGTGTGCAAACTCTCCGGAGTTATCCCCACCACATCCATGATTTAATTACCTCTTAGGTGCTGACAGCCCCTCAAATGTCCCTCTCTACCCTAGACATCTGGTCTGAGCGATGGAAGTGTGCATCCTACCCTTCAGATGACATTTTCCCTGGAGGCATCAGAAGCACCTTGCCCTTCACCTTTACCTGCCCTGTGAATAGCACCCTCTGCTATGCATCCTGCTGCAGAGGAACTGCGAGTCATCCTTGTTTCCCCCTTTTGTTTATTTCCCTTCATCCAGCCCATCACCAGGTCTTCCCAAGTATACCTCCACTCTGTCCCCTTCCTCCGTTCCCATGGCAGTCACCTGGTCAAAGTCACCATCATCTGTCACCCAGACTGCCATGGCAATCTCCTGACTGGTCCTCTCACTTGTCTTCTTCATTCTATGCATAGCAACCGGGTTTATACACACACCCATACCTTCATACTTATGTTGCAAAAAGCAATTCAGTGGCTTCCCATTACACTGGAATAGAATCTGATATCCTCATGATGTGAAGATAGTCACACAACTCTGTAACTTTCCTAAAAATAAAAATAATAATAGATCAGTCTTTTTAAAGTACATTTCCTACTTGGCAACTTCTAATCGTGCCATTCTGTGGCATAACCCTCAGTGACTCCTTGATCGTTCACAAAAGTGTGATCCCTCAACATGGTATTTGAGGCCCTCACTTAATATATTAGTCAGGGCTCTCCAGATAAGCAGAACTAACAGAGTGTATTTCTCTCTCTCTTTCTTTCTCATCTGTTGAGACCGATAATTATTTTAAATAATTGGCAGGCTGCTGGCAGAATTCGCTTTAGTTCAGAATTTTTGTTCTATTCAGGCTTCAACTGATTGGATGAGACCCACCCACATTACTGAAGGTAATGAAGGTTGTCTGCTTTACTTGAAGTAGACCCATTTAAATGTTAATGTCATCCAAAAACACTTTCACAGAAACATGTAAGAATATTTGATCAAATGGCATGGCACTGTGGCCCAGCCAAATTAATACTTAAAATTAGCCATCATACTTCATAAACAAGAAATATTTATGAAGCATATACTGCACCACAAACTTGCTCCAATGTTTCCTTTTACCCTTAACCTACAACATGTGCTCAGATCCTGTAATCCAGTCAGCATTCTGCTGCCCCACTCATAGAGCCCCACCTACTTTCACTTCTAGGTTGTCCATGTCGTTCCCTAACCTGGAACATTTGCCTTCTCATCATCTGTCCCTCATTCCCACATCTTCATCTTTGAAATATTAATTATCCTTCTTAGAATGTAACTTTTCCTTATTTTGAACCCTACTTTATTTTATTATAATTATTCATCATTGTCTTTTCTCTCATCAGACCATATGTACTTTTTAACAGAAATGTTTACAGTAGTTCCCCAAAAATATTAAACAGAAAATTCCAGAAATAACAATTTGCACATTTTAAATTGCATGCCATTCTGAGTAGTGTGATGAAATCTCACTCTGTCCTGTTCCATCCTGCGTGGTACATGAATCCTTCCTTTGTCAGGGTATCCATCTGTAGACACTCCCTGCCTGCTAGTCACTTAGTAGCCGTCTTGGGACTGCAGTAGTTTTGCAGTGCTTGTGTTCAAGTAACCTTTACTTTACTTAATAATGACCCCAAAGTGCAAGAATAGTGATGCTGGCGATTTGGATGTGCCAAAGAAAAACCTTTAAGTGCTTCCCTTGAGTGAAAAGGCTATATATGAAAAAATTAAGGTGACCCCACGAAACTATCTTTCTAGTGTTAAATTCCAAAAGTATAGATAGACCAAGACTGACTAAAGGAATAAAATGAGCTCAATAATGTGCCATGGTATTTTTTCATATATAACCTAAAATTTAACTTGGTAACTGTGTATAAATGGACAAATGTATACATAGATTGATGGATAAAAATCCAGGTTTTGTCTTATGTATATGGTTATCTATCTATCTATAAGGATATGGATATATATAAGATCTATGGATATCTATATATCTATATGTATAGACATTATATAGATATCTATCTGTCCATCCACCTGTTCACCCACACATTTTTAAATGTGGAGATAAATATAGATGGGTTTTAGATCATTTTCACATCCTTACTGGAACCGAGTAGACCTTAGATATTCTGTAATCAAAAAAGAATATGCCATTATATCTTATTCTCTTGAGGCAGGAGAAACCATTGACTGCTATGGGTTCTAAAGAAAAGTTGTATCAAAATATTTCTTGCATATACACATTTGTATGAAAGTTTAAAGCAACAATAGCACACACACATGCGCACACATATATATCTGCTTTAGTGTATGCATAGTATATCTCTAGCAGGATATATAAGAATTTGTAAGCCAGGCACAGTGGCTGACACCTATAATCCCAGCACTTTGGGAGACCAAGGTGAGAGGATTGCTTAAGCTTAGGAGTTTGAGACCAGCCTGGGTAACGTAGTGAAACCTCATCTCTCCAAAAAAAAAAAAAAAAAATTAGCTAGGTGTGACAGCGCAAGCCTATAGACCCAGCTACTTGGGAAGGTGAGACAGAAAGATCACCTGAGCCCAGAAGATTGAGACTGCAATGAGCCATCATCGTGTCACTGTATTCCATCCAGCGTAGGTAACAGAGTGATATTCTATCTCCACCCCCCCCCCAAAATAATTGATAACAATTGATACCTTTGGGGAAGGAGACTTACTTTTCAGCATATCCCTTTTTATGTCATTTCAGTTTTCAGTGTCTTACCTCTTACTCAAAAGTAAATAATTTACAAATAAAGACTTCTGCTATGCTTTCAATGCTACATCTTGCTATCATGTTGGGTTATCTGTACATAGAAAAATAATTACTGCAGCTTATCTCTGGTTTTGTTTTCCAGGACTTTGTTGGCATTAGGATGTCATGTGGGAATATCAGATGAACATGCTGAAGAAAAGGTGAAAAAAATGAAGCTACCCAAGAAGTAAGTCGTAGGACTAAATCAAATATCAAATAATTGTTGTATAAATATGGAGCAACCAAATAACCCTTGATGGACATTCAGATGCTTGGCTTACATCGTGGGTGGAAATAAACATATCCTACAAGGTGACATAAAGTATAATGCCATTTTTTTGAGGCTCAAAATCAAGTAATACTAAAAAACATACACTTTTTTGAGATATCTACTTATTGATAGGACTGATTTTTTAAAAATCAGTGGAATTACAATTTTAGATAGAATTATCTTCAGGATGGTATAAAGGCAGGGACATAGCATAGAGAAGAGCAGTGTTAGTAATGATTTGATTGTTAACTTGGTGGTGGATTAATTAAGTTCATTCTCTTCTAATGCTTTGAAGTATATGGTTTATAGTTATTTATGAGTATTTCTTAAAATGAAAAACATAATGACAATTATAAAATTCAAATATGTCATTAATCACAAGTGTAAATGGATTAACTTTTTCAGGTTAGAGACAGAAGTTGTCAGACTGGATTTAAAAAGATAACTCTTGGTATACAGCTAACAGAAGGCACATCAATAACTTTAGAACATAGAAAAGTTGGAAATAATGCATGAAGCAATTCTGCTCAAAAGGATGCTAATGCAGTTTCATACAAAATTTCCTACATAAGACAAAATAACTTGTAATGCAAAATTAATATAAAAAAGATTAAGGATCAAGAACACAAGCATTATGGTATAGCTAATTATATATGCACCAAGTAAAATACCTTCAAAAACCAATGAAGAAAAGTATGAGTAGATTTTCATAAAGAAATGGGCAGATATAGGTAACCATTATGATAGAACACAACCCAACTCTCAGAAACTGATATGCTCAAAAGATAAAATAGGTTAATAAAAATATAAACCAATACACATTAAAAGTTTGACATACGTGAAACACTGCATGCATGGAACCTTTATAAAATGTAATATCCTTTTAGGACATGAGAACATTGATATTATAAAGCTCATATGCACTGAATCACAATAAAAGCAAAAAATCCTACAAAGTCATAACATGTTTAGAAATTTTAAACCATACTTCTAAATAGCTTGTGTGTCAAGCACATCATCTTGGAAATTAATTAATAATTAACTTATTTATAACTCTGTATTTATTTCTAATTGAAATAGAAGATTCGTATTTCTTGATCTTGCTAAGCTAGCCTCTCCTTTTTTCATGCCTTTTTCCACCAATACATGGTGAGTCAAAACCAAATTTATTTTTTGTTTGCTTGTTCTTGTTTTTGTTTAAATCGACAAATTAAAATTGTATATATTCATGGTACACAACATGATGTTTTGAAATATGTACAGTGTGGAATGACTGAATCAAGCCAATTGACATATTCATTACCTCACACACTCATTTTTATGTGAGGAGAAACTTAAAATCTACTCTCTTAGGAATTTTCAAGTGTACAGCACATTATTAACTACAGTAATTAAGCTGCATAATGCATTTCTTGAACTCATTCATCATGGGAGTTTAAAAACCCCATTATGGAAGAGGAAAATATTTCGTAATAAAACATATAGGTTACATATTACAAAGTAATACTTGGAGAAAGTAGAAGAAAAGAAATAAAAATGGAAACGAATGAATTTGGTGTGGGTAGTATGAAATATAAACACCAGTGAGGCAGCAGGAAAAGAAAAAAAAAAAATCCTGACAATATTGCCAAGAAAAAAAGGAAAATTGCTTTTAATGATTGTAGGAGTATTTTCGTTAGAGTTTGAAAATGTAATAAATGTGTACTAAAATTTTGTAAAGATAAATGATATGGACAGTTTTGTAGAATGATATTAGAACTGATTCAAGAAGGAAGGAAATGTGAATAGAGTTAGAACTATTAAAGGAATTTAATTAATAGTTTAAAATCTATATATACTCATAGACAGACGCACACACACACACACACACACACACACACACCCCAAACAACTTTTCTGTTGATTTACACCAAATATAGACAATCTCAAATGAAAAAAAGAGACACTTTACAGTTTATTTTCTGAAAATAATCTTCATGCTAAAGCCCAGATCAGATGATGTGAAAGAGAAATTTTGAAACAGTCTTAATTATGAGCATAGATATAAAAATACTAAGTAAAATTCTAGCATGCAACTTAACAATGTATTAAAAGAAAGTGTAATATGACCAAGCTGAGTTTATTCCAGTAGTGAAAGCATGTGATTAACATTAAAAATTGTATTTTATCAGTTCATGCATAATTAAGAAGAAAATTCATATGATCAGCTCAACACATTTAAAAATAAATATTTCTGAAAATCTTTTTTGCTTATAAGCAAATGAACTCTTAGTAAGCTGTGATCTGACAGAACCTTGTTCTGACAAAGGCCAGCAGCAACCATTAATCTATAAGGTAAAACCTCCAAATATTTCCTTTAAGAGGGAGAAATGAGAGAATGTATGCCACCATTACCTGATGTGTTCCAGATAACCAGTGCAATGAGACAAGACAAAAATTGGAAAGAATGAAAACAAATTGTCATCAGTGGTAGATATTGTTGCAAAGAAAACTCAGAATTTATAAAATTATTTCAAACAGTATTGCTAGATCCATATCTTTAAAATGTATGTATTATTTACAAATGTAACAAGGAAAAAAAAAGACATTCCCAAATTAGATGAGAAGCCTAAGAATAAATCTAACAAAAGAGATGTGAGACCTCTGTGGATAAAATACTTAAATTTAATTTTAAAACTATAAAGTAGAATATCTAAATAAATAGAGGTAGATCATGTTCATGGATAGTAAGACAAATAAATCATTTCTCCCCAAATTAATTTTAAATTCAATGTTATTCTATTCATCTTCCCAATGGAGAGTCTCAAGCAGCTTGATAAGCTAATTCTAAGATGCATATGGAATTACAAAGGCTTAAGCATAGCCAGCAGTTTCTTGAGACAGAAAATTAACTTGCTTAATTAGATAATCTCAAGACTTACGATAAAGATATGGTAATTAAGGCAGTGTTGTAATGGTTTAGAGACAGACAAATTAAGACCAAATGAGTCGTGAAATATATACATGTATATATGGAAATCTGATGTATGCATCTGATGTATGCCAAAGGTCTTATTACAGATAAGTATGAAAATGATAGATTATTTAATCAGTGATACTTAAATACATGATTAGAAGACTGGAAAAAAAAATACTGGACCCCTACCCTACACTATACACAAACATTAGCATGTTAAATTAAGATCTAATTACACAAGACAAAAACTTTTTTGAAGGCAATGTAGTGAAATACTTTCATAACTTTGGGATGAGGAAGGATTTTTTTTTTATTTGAAAAATAAAAAATTCTCAACTCATTTAAGTTTTTGCTCAGATAAAAGCTCCTTTGAGAGATCTTTCCTAAATATCCTATTTATAGTAGGACCTTTATAATAACACTGTTGACAATTTTCATTACCCTGCTTTATTTTTTTAAATTGCACCTCTACACCTGATGTTATTTATTTTTCATGTCCCCGAAATGTACTCTATAAGGGGTGAGGTTTTGTTTACCATGCCCCCACTTTCTAAAACACCTAGCACATGGTAAGTGCATCATAAGTGTTGTTGTATAAACCAAGTTTTAAAAAATTGACATTGAAAAAAATTGTACAACAAGAGACTATAAGTGAAAAGACTTACATAGCAATATCAAGAATGCCTAAGAATTAATAAAAAGATGTCCTAATAGAAAAATGAGCAAAGAATATAAACAGATAATTCATAAAGAGAAAACCTGCAGATCTAATAAACATATGAAGGACACTCAGCTTCACTAATAATCAAAGAAATGTAAATTAAAATCACAGTGAGAAACTATTTCACATATACGAGGTTGAAAAATATAGAACACTATGGGAGGATTGTAAATTCGTACTAATACTTTGGAGACCAATTTAGCATAATCTTATAAAGTTGAAGATGACCTAGCTATTTCTTATCTAGACTTTAGATAAACTTTTGCACATATGTACAAATTTGAAAAGACTATTCATTGTGGCATAGATTGTAGTAGCAGTAAATTGAAAACAACTTAAATTCCTATCAGACATAAGATCATAAAAATAATTTTTATGGTTTCATGTAGTGGAATGCTACAGAGTATAGCTAATGTAAATATAGCTGAATGTATCCACAGGACGAATTTCAAAATGATTTCCATGAAGCACTCCTCTCCCCCAAAAAGCACAAAGCACGTTACCAAAAAGACAGGTCATCCCATTTAAAGTTTAGAAATATGTACCTGCACATGTTTGTTTGTGGCAGCTCTATTCACAATAGCAGAAACATGGAACTAATCATGTTGCCCATCGAAGCAGTACTAGATTAAAAAAATGTGGTACATTGTACACAATGGAATATTATGCAGCTATAAAGAAGGACAAACATATAAGCTTTGCAGCAACTTGGATGGATTTAGAGTCGATCATATTCAGTGATCTGTCACAGAAACAAAGAACAGAATACCATATGTTCTCACTCATAAGTGGACCTTGAACAATTATAATACTATAAGAAAGGGATTGGCAGTAGTGGGAAACTATGAGGGTAGGGGGTTGGGATTAGCATTTGAGGGGAACTGCTGGGGGAGGGAGGGGCATACTTCATCAACAAGGGTACCTGCATAATCAACATTTGTATACCTAACCCTATATTGTACCCCACATCTTTATAATAAAAAAAATAAAAAACAAAAAAAGTTTAGAAATGTGAAATGCAATTTTGCATATAGTTTATCAAGTCAAATATATGTAGGAACAATATACAAATCAGCCCTAGGGATAGTCAACTTCAAATTCAAGGTAATAATTTGTTTTGGAGAAAAGACGGGGATTAGAATTGAAGAGGGAACACAGGGAGAGCTTGAAATTTATATATTTTGCATTGGCCTGGAATATTTCATAATAATAAAGAGATGGTAGATAACTTAAACCAGA